TGGGAGGGCACTGAAGCAGGGCTGGCAAATGCTGCTGTGGCAGTGGCACGAGCCTCTACTGATTGGGACTGATTGGGCGCGAGCCTGCGGCAGGCGCAATGGGGCTGGGATGAGTGGGTGTGGCAGGTAGGAGCTGCAGGTGGCCTAATCCCCACAGGCCACCCAGAGGGACCCCACCTGTGCACGAATTTGTGCACCGGACCTCTACTATGTATATATGAGTAAAAAAAATAGTTACATAAACCTTTTAGGATGGCCTTTCTTTCTCTTTATTAGCCCTCTTCATGGCTACTCTTTTAGCTTGTTTTTCATTTACATTTATTGAGTACTTCTGCCAGGTCATAGTGTCCTAATCTGCCTGCACTGATTATCCGTTTATTATGAAGTTCAAGTAATTGGCATTAGGTTCTTAGCATCTTAATTAACTGATCTTCAGTTATTTAAGCTGTATGAAACATGCTTTTATAAACCTACTTAAATCCCCAAGTTATTTTAGATGGACATAACCAGTCTTGCTCCTACAGTCAATCACCTTTAACATGTGTATACAAATCACTGTCCTTGAAGTGTGTGAGACCTAACGTTTGAGTGGAAGGTTTGGTAGTATTTTAGACTTAAGTGTTTGACATAATCTTTTTTTTTTTTTTTAATATATATTTCTTTATTGATTTCAGAGAGGAAGGGAGAAGGAGAGACATAGAAACATCAATGATGAGAGAGAATCATCGATCGGCTGCCTCCTGCACACCCCACACTGGGGACGGAGCCCGCAATCCAGGCATGTGCCCCCGGCCAGAATCGAACCCAGGACCCTCCAGTCCGCAGGCCGACGCTCCATCCACTGAGCCAAGCCGGCCAGGGCTTGACATAATCTTTTATGTCATACAATGTTGTGTCTTTGAAAGTGTTTATAAGTAAATAGTGAACTTGTAAGTATTTAGTCAACAGTAGAAATAGAAAAAGCCCATCAGGTTTATGAGGACCAGGACCAACATGGAGCACAAAAGTGCAGGGACTGCAGTGGTTTTCTTGGTGAACCTGAGCATCTGAGCATTTTTTTCTTCCTGTTTGGTCTTCAACTTTGCTTTAAATCAATGATATTTGCAACTATAGTAATACATTACATTAAACATTCATGACAACAAGCTACTAGAATAGTATAGCAAGAAACTATTTTTCATTTTTGTTTGATAGTAAACAATGGTAGCATTACTTTTATAACACTAACTTTATAAACCATTTCCTTTCAGCTCTAAGGGTTTCTTTACCGCCTTTTGAAAGACTTCTGTACTTGCAATTAGCTTTATAATTTACACTACAGGCCCAGTGCATGAAATTCTTGCATGGGGGGGCTGTCCCTCATCCCGACCTGCACCCTCTCCAATCTGGGACCCCCTCGGACATCCCTCTTACAATCCAGGACCGCTGGCTCCTAACTGTTCTCCTGCCTGCCAGCCTGATTGCCCCCTAACCGCTCCTCTGCCAGCCTGATCGACGCCTAACTGCTCCTCTGCTGGCCTGTTCACCCCCAACTGCCCTCCCCAGCTGGCCTGATCGCCACCAACTGAGACATCCCTCTCACAATCCAGGACCGCTGGCTCCTAACTGTTCACCTGCCTGCCAGCCTGATTGCCCCCTAACCGCTCCTCTGCCAGCCTTGTTCACGCCTAACTGCTCCTCTGCTGGCCTGTTCACCCCTAACTGCCCTCCCCAGCTGGCCTGATTGCTCCCAACTGCCCTCCCCTGCCGGCCTGATTGATTGCCCACAGCTGCCCTCCCCTGCTGACCTGATCGCCCACAACTGCCCTCCTCTGCTGCGACTTGCCCCCTCCACCAGGCCCCGCCTCTGCTATGCACACGGCCATCTTGTGATGGCCATCTTGTGACGACGTTAGGGCGTGATGCGTGAGGGTGTGACGACCCAGGGGTCCTCAAACTTTTTAAACGGGGCCAGTTCACTGTCCCTCAGACCGTTGGAGGGCCGGACTATAGTTTAAAAAAAAAACTATGAATAAATTCCTATGCACACTGCACATATCTTAGTTTGAAGTAAAAAAACAAAATGGGAACAAATACAATATTTGTATTTGCATGTGGCCCGCAGGCCGTAGTTTGAGGACCCCTGACCTAGGCTATTAGTATTGATTGTCCACGTGGGAAAGCGCTGTGGTGAGGTGGAAATGTAGAGCACCCATCTCTGTTATCTTTTGCTAAGACTTCAGCGTAGTCTGTCATGGCGGTTAGGATGGCTTTCGAGCAGGTTGGCTCTGGCTCGTATCCCAACTGTGTTACTTTGAGCAGATTACTGTACCTCTCTTTAGTTTTCTTACCTGTAAAGCAGAGTATTAATGCATGTTCTTCCCGGTTGCCCTTAGTTGCCACGGAATTACTGAAAGGAACCCAGACAAGTAACTCGCTGCTAACAACTACTCAACAGATGTTAGGTCTTTTTACTGGGTAGATTTCTTTTCCTCCTAAGCAATTCCAAGTGCTTATATAAGTAGATTAAGAAGAATTTTTTAAAACTTACATTTGATAAGAATTCAAGACATTATTTAAACCAAGTTTGTCATTAAAGGCTACCAGCCCAGTGTAGGACCAGCAAAATGTGGTGAGGTTTCTGAAAATGGTGAAAGTAACCTGATAGATTTAGAGGCTTCTTTAAAATACTACCAGAACAAATACAGAAAAAGAAGAAACCTGTTAAAAACTAAAATGCTTTTAAAGTTAATTTCAGCATGCCTCCTTGAATTTGAAGCACTTATATGATTATCCAGAGCATTTTGTACATTTATAAGCTTTACTTTTTTTTTTAATTTTTATTGAATTTATTGGGGTAACATTGGTTAATAAAATTATGTAGGTTTCAGGTGTACAATTCTATAATACATCATCTGTATATTGTATTGTGTGTTTTCCACCCAAAGTCTTTCCTTCGTCGCCATTTATCCTCCCTCCCTTTACCCTCTCCCATCTCCCCACATTCCCCCTTTCCCTTGGCAATCACCATAGTGTTGTCTGTGTTTGTTGTTGTTTTTGTTTAATCCCTTTACCTTTTTCACCTAGCCCTGCCTGGCTCTCCCATCTGACAGCTGTCAGTTTCTATCTGAGTCTGTTTCTATTTTGTTTATTAGTTTATTTTGTTCTTTGGATTCCACATATGAATGAAACCACATGGTATTTGTCTTTCTCTGACTGGCTTATTTCACTGAGCATGGTGTTCTCTGGGTCCATCCATGCTCTCAGACAGTGTTCAGGATCTGGTGTTCCTTGGAATGCCTGTTATGTGTACCGCATATTCACTGGCAGCCGTGGTAACTACTATGCAGCATTTCTTTATTTTTCCTTACACTTATAGAATTCTATATTTAAAATATTTACTTCTCCAGTTATAGTATTTTAAATTGGTAAAATTTCTTTTCTTTTCTTTTTTCTTTAACCATGAAGGGTGTTTATTTAAAAAAAAAATAAAAAAAAAGAGCATCCTCCCGATGTGCAATGATTCTCTCTCCCTCGCTTTCTAAAATCAATTTGTAAAAGTTAAAAAACAAACAAACAAAAAACCAGTTGTATAGAGTTATACTGCATAGGGCCTAAACATGCTTGCTCCTTCCAGAAGTACTGACTTGGGTTCTTTTCCTAAAATTTCTTAATTTATCACATTTCCCCCCATTTCTTTTTAGAGAGAGTGGAAAGGAAGGTGGGAGGAGGAGAGAGAAAGAGAGAAACATCAATTGGCCGCCTCCGCAGGAGCCCTAACTGGGGCCAGGATTGAACCTGCAACCCAGGTCTGTGCCCTTGACTGGGAATCGAACCCAAAACCTGTGTACAGGCCAATGCTCCAACTACTGAGCCACACAGGCCAGGGCAATTTATCACATTTTTTTTGGACAGTCCTTGCTCTGCTCGGTTAAATTTGGCTCTACATCCTGACAATTTCTGTCATTAAATGAACATTTACGAACACACTGAAATGTCTAGAGAGCTCTGCTGCAGAATGGGGTTACAAATATAAAGATGGTCTGTCTGTTAGAGGAGAGGCAGGTGGCTATTAATGACAGGGAAGAGGTGTGAACACAATGCCATGGGAGTGCTTGGAAGGGGCAGCTAGTTCCAAATGGGAAGATCAGAGAAGACTTTAGAGTGGAAGTTGCATTTGAATTTGGCCTTAAGGAAGAGCTGGGTAGAGGAGGCGGCAATAGCATCGGAAGCAGAGGAGGTGCAAGCTGAGGAGGTGCGGCAGATTAAAGCATGAAGCGTGTAGCATGCTTTAGGGGTGAATAGGCCGGTATGGCTGGGACCTAAGGGGGTTTGGGTTTGTTTGGAAGAAATGAATCTGGAAAGGTGGAATTAGGTCACATTGTGAAGTTCCTTAAGTGCTCTCTGAGGAGGTGGGACTTCATTCTGTAGATAAACTCTAATGCAGAGGAAAAGGTAGTGAGCTCTGTGGTTTTGGTGAAAACTCTTAGGAGTGGCAAGAAGAACTAAGTTCAAGAAAGGAGAACTAAAAATGCAGAGATCAATTAGGATATTATTGCAGTAGTGAAGACAGAAAATCACAGAGATCAAGTTGGCCTGTAATAGGAAAACTGTAGAAATCAAAAGAAGACTAGATTTAGATGATGTTTCAGGTTCACAGGCCTTGGTGATCAGATATGGAGATAAGAACAAGGGAAGAGTCAGAGATGACGTCAGGACTTGGAGGTCTCCAGACACAGTAATGCCAATTAACAAATTTTGAAAGGAATTCCTTTGAGGTAAAATGTGAGTACTTACTGTGAAGGATTTGATAAAGCAGTTTTCAAACTCTTAGTGCTCTGTTGGCTGTAGCACTGTGGCTTTGTATGTTTCCTGCTATGGGAAATCTCATGTTTTGGGTTGCTGTATATGGGAGGATATTGGCACATGTTATAGTTATGAGACTTCACCTGAGATATTTGAATTTTTGCAAGTTTGTTACACCACATTTTTAACATGAGATTACTATAAAAACTTTTTAGTCTTCAAGAGACCTATGAAGCCAAAAGACACGAAATTTATGGGGAACGTCAGAGGAAGGAAGATGAAATGAAGCAGATGTTTGTGCAGCGGGTGAAGGAGAAAGAAGCCATACTAAAAGAAGCTGAAAGAGAGGCAAGTACACTAGTTTGTTGGGATTTGCATTTTTTTAGGTGTCCTATTAATTTGGGGGATTTATCTCAATTTAGTTGAGATGCATTTGGAGACTACTTGTTATTCTTTAAAAACTAGCTATTTTATACACCTAGTCTTTTAAAAAATTGTAGTCTGAAATCAATTTTGGCCATTATGAGCAAATGGTCATCCTTTAGAAGTGGCTTATCAAGAACTTATAATGCACCAGTTTACTAAGAAGTATTTTAAGTATCTTAACCAGGAGCCAGAAATATTGTAGCTCTGGCTTGCTAAAGCCCTTTTTGAGAATTTAGATGACGTTTGGTCTAAATGACCTTTGGCACAGCTAAACATCAGCAGTGAATTCCTTTAGTTCTGTTTGCTTCTCATTCTTCAAGCAACAATTTTAATTTTATTTGTTAAGCTATTTTCTATAGATCTGTAGACCTAATTGCAATGGCTACTTTTAAGTAAATGGCTGCATTTTCAAATGAGGCTCAAAAAGGGTGAGCTGCAAAAAAATTTCTAGAAGACAGAAATGTTAATACAAGTGAACTTGATAACACAAGAGTCCCTGAAGAGTTATTTGTAATTAATTTTACAAATGTATTATGTCAAGTACACTTACAGTACTTGGTATTTAAATAGTAAATGGTTTGGTAAAATAATCTAATATATCCTACTTATAATTTGAATTTTGGTCTTTTGAAAAATTTCAGATAATAGAAAAGTGAATCCAGAGTACACCCGTGTCCCTCCCACACCTAGATTTAGTAGGGAACATTTTGCCATTTTTATTTTACATGTGGGTATGTTGCGCATGTATGTGTATGCGGGTATATGTGTGTATGTACATGCATGTGTATTTTTCCCGGTCATCTGAACACTGGTTGAGACATCATGGCACTTTATCTCTAGACACACCAGTGTGCATCTCTAAAGGTTAGGTGTATTTTTCTTCATAACCATAGTACCAATTTACACCTAAGAATATTAATAGGAATGCCATAATCTCGCCTAATTGCTAATCCATATTCAAATTTCCCCAGTTGTCTCAAGATTGTCTATTATTATTTCTTTTTGTTTGGTGATTTTTGTTTTTGAACCAGAATTAAATCACAGGTCTTATTGCATTTGGGTGTTCTGTTTCTTTAGTTTTTTGTTCTCTTTTAAACTAGTCCCTACTTTGTAGCTATTTTTAAATACAAATATTGAGGAGGAAGGAGTTGTGATGAGTAGGAAATAAGGATGCTGGTTTTTCTTTTAATCAGTGGATTAGTCTTTAAGGTGGTAGTGGAGTGAAATTCTTCCAAGAGTTTCTCATAGATCAGGATTCCTTGTCTCTCCAGTGAGGAGAAAAGTTGTAGAAGTGGTGTATAGATAAGTTTTAATTTTTAAAATTCCACATAATATTTTGCTTAAATGTTTATTATTTAAAAGGATGTTAAAAATTCAGGTGACTAAATGATTGAAAGAAAAAGAGGAATACTATTTGTTAGTAGGTGCTTTGTAGAATTTTATTTTTGTGATTCAAATGCTTAAGAGTATGTATTAAACAAACGAAGTTAATTTGAAACTAAAACACCAACAATCAGTTGTCACAGGAGTTCTAAACTTTTAATTATGTAGTTTTAGAGACAGTAGATTACTGGCCTGCTTATTTCATGACCACTTTTCATGCTGTTAAGCCACTGTTGTTGATACTTGACAGAGTTACGGTCAGTTTGCTGAAGAAGGGCGTCTAGTCAATCATCATTACTTCGTGAGACTAGAATCATCTACTCCAGGGCTGAGGAAGACAGGATACGTTATTGCCTTAATTACGATGGTTTTAGAGGGAAAGGAGGCTTATTAATAATTACACTGGGGCAATAAGTAGGTGTAAACCAAGTCTCTTCAGGGTAAACTGGGATATTTGATCCTAATACTTGACTGCCAACATTTTAAAGTTAGTTATGTCAATAAGATACTGGCAGTCACCAACAAAAAGATAATTTTGGTAACCCAAAACAGTACTTAATTCCATATTAGGAGACCTTGTTATTTAAAATATCCTTGCCAATGTTATAAAACAAATACTTCTTAATTTATATTTTGTATAAAACTGGATTTTATTATATAGTTAATTGAAAATGTTGGGAACATTAAATAGACAACTAGAGTAGGGAGATGCACAGAACAAATGTTATCTCAAGATACTGTCTGAATATTGTATTTCTTACATCTTTATTACATCATTCTGAATGTACTAATGAGGCATGTTATGTATTATACGCAGATTTCCCATTCCTTTTCCGCTACTACAAGAAAAGTACAGTTTTTATCCCTCCAATAAAGCACATAACCATCATTACATCATTACTACTTCCCCATTTTATATATGTCTACTCTGTCGTTAATATTTCATTTAATTTAGGCCTTATTTTCAAAAGTCTTCTATATGATTTCCAGTAAAAATACAGCTGCATTATAATCCTGAACATGAGAATACAGGAGGAAGACTTATAATACAGGGCAGGAAGGAGGGGTTCACCATAGGTGCAGCCGAGAACTGAGGCCCAAGGTGACTTCTCAGTGAGCACAGGCAGCTCACCTTCCAGGCAGTCATGGCAAAAAGGCCACTGGGAGGCACAAAACTCACAGTAAAGATAATCTAGTTCAGTGATGGCGAACCTTTTGAGCTCGGCGTGTCAGCATTAAAAAAAAACCCTAACTTAACTCTGCTGCCGTGTCACATATAGAAATTTTTTGATATTTGCAACCATAGTAAAACAAAGATGTATATTTTTGATATTTATTTTATATATTTAAATGCCATTTAACAAAGACAAATCAACCAAAAAAATGAGTTCGCGTGTCACCTCTGACACGCGTGTCATAGTTCAATCAAAGAGGAATGCTGTCTTTAGCATTTGTTTCTAAAAATTAGTAAGTTTAAAAGGATCATTGAACATCAGAATGTATGACATTCTTAGAAATAATGTTGACAAAAGATACAGCAATGTACCATATTGGTGATAGTCTTAAGAGCATTGGTGAGTAGTTATCAGGAGCACAAAAGGTGTACTGTTTTTAACTTTTTGATTAGTATTTGAAAATACATTTGAATAAATGCCTGTTGCAGTGACTAATGGAACCATGAGTGAGTGCTTCATGTACATGGAATAGATTGTTGCTATCAAAACTGTGAATGCCACATAATATGAATAATGTTCCCATTCACACCTTTTCCACTCCCCCTTTTAAAACATTTTTCTTGTTACAGTTTTCCTGGAATTTTTATCAACCTCAGGAATGAAATATATGAAGCACTCTATATATAAACCTTTAAAGATATTTATGTAGGTTTATAAAGAACCCATTTAAGTAATCAGTTCTCTGTCTCTATTCACAATAATGCAGATCTGCCCCTGTAGCCTCAGTTTCTGTTTCAGCCTCCACGCCGCTCCTCTCCCATATTTACAAGGGACGCACATGTGCTCAGAGAGCTGTAGACTTTATACCACTGATGGGTGTGACAGCTGGATGAGTCCCGCCCTGTAAACACATGTGCACTCACACACACACCTTTTTGTAGAAGCAGGAACCATTTAATAAGCCAGCACCAAGTACTGTGCTTCTCTGAAATGGCCCCCTCAGAAAGGATCTGAGGCAGCAGGTCACTCACCTATTTCAGCTTCTCCCGCCTTAGTCTCAGGCCTCCGTCGGGTTTTCTGGCTCAGGACACACTGCTCCATATTTGGGAAATTTACTCTTTATTAGGGTGGGGTTTAGCTCTCTCCAGTTTCTACCCTCAGCCTCTGGTTGCTAGTAGCGTATTTCTATTTCCTCAGCTATTCTATGCCATCTTTCTGGAAGCCAAGTTTTACTTTTCATTGAATGCTAGGTTGCTGCCTAAAACTAAAAAGACTAATTTAACATTTGTTTAACCAGGCTAGGAGATCAGAAAAGAAAAGGTATCTTTTTTTTTTTTTAATCAAGATTTAGAATGTTGTGCTTATATACACGGCACACAGCGGATTCATATGGAGTCCACTGAAGTGCCCAGATTTGTTTTCAGATTAACACCAATTAACCAGGGAAACCTCATGTTATTGATAATTGACACTTAACTTCCCAAACAGATTTTTCAGTATAACTTTTAACAGCTTTCTCACTACAAATGATAACTTAATTTGGAAAATAAGGGTTTCTTTTTCCTTTTTTATAACTTGCTTCTGTAATTTGTGTTCTTTACCTTTATTAAGCATGAATTTTAGAAAATCTAATTGAAGAGGCTTTGTGGAGAAACTAGAGCAAGAAAATAAAAACTTCAAGGAAAGGTCATGTTTTAAAAACAGGTTTGTTCCTGGGGCTATGGTTTTTCATTATATTTTGTTCATGCATTTTTTTTTTTTTGCTTGGGAACTTATTTAAAATTAAAGTTGCTAAGGCAAATTCATAATTAAATTTTTTCTGAAGCATGAACTTGAGCCACCAGGTAGCTTGTGCAGATGCTGTGTTCATTAGCGTGAATTAGCAGTGTGCTTTAGGCAGGAGGACACCCCTGCGCATCTGCTGGCTTGTGCAGATGTTGTGTCCATTAGCATGAAGTAACAGTGTGCTTTAGGCAGGAGGACACCCCTGCGCAGCTGCTGGCTTGTGCAGATGTTGTGTCCATTAGCGTGAATTAGCAGTGTGCTCTGGGCAGGAGAACAGCCCTGCCCAGCTGCTGGCTTGTGCTGATGTTGTGTCCGTTAGCGTGAATTAGCAGTGTGCTCTAAGCTGGAGAATAGCCCTGCCCAGCTGCTGGCTTATGCAGATGTTGTGTCCATTAGCGTGAATTAGCAGTGTGCTCTGGGCAGGAGAACAGCCCTGCCCAGCTGCTGGCTTGTGCAGATGTTGTGCCCATTAGCATGAATTAGCAGTGTGTTCTAAGCAGGAGGACACCCCTGCGCGGCTGCTAGCTTGTGCAGATGTTGTGTTCATTAGCATGAATTAGCAGTATGCTCTAAGCGGGAGGACACCCCTGCCCAGCTGCAGCCATTCTGTTTCACTGCTAAAAGCTGCACCTTGTTTCCCAGCTGCAGGCCAAATTCGAGCACCTCAAAAGAGTTCACCAAGAAGAGAGAATGAAGCTTGAGGAGAAGAGAAGACTTTTGGAAGAAGAAATAATCTCTTTCTCTAAAAAGAAAGCTACCTCCGAGATATACCAGAACCAGAGCTTTATGGGCAGCAACCTGAAGAAGGACAAAGACCGTAAGAAGTAAGCCATTTCCAACCACCCACCTCGGGTAGCCTCGCCCCTTCCCTCTCCCTCTCATTGCCCTCTTTGATCTTTATTGTGCTTCTGTCTGTTTCCTTTTCCTTGTCTGCCTCCTGTGGTCAGCTTGTTGTTCACTGCTGCTTCCCTAGCATCTACAATAGCACCTGGCACATATTAGGTGCTCATTAAATATTTGGCAAAATGAAAGAATGAATGAAATAAAAACACATCACAGGACATTTGCCATTTGCTGTTGTAGGACGTATGGATGAGTTAAAAGTTGGAAATAAGCTGGTCAAAGCTCGCCAGTACCCTTGGGGTGTTGTACAAGTGGAAAATGAAAACCACTGTGACTTTGTAAAGCTTCGGGAAATGCTCATTTGTACAAACATGGAGGATCTGAGAGAACAGACCCATACAAGGCCCTGTGAACTGTACAGGCGTTACAAACTGGAGGAAATGGGCTTTCCTGATGTGGGCCCAGGGAATCAGCCTCCCAGTCTTCAAGAGACATATGAGGCCAAAAGACACGAATTTTATGGGGAACGTCAGAGGAAGGAAGAAGAAATGAAGCAGGTGTTTGTGCAGCGGGTGAAGGAGAAAGAAGCCATGCTGAAAGAAGCTGAAAGAGAGCTGCAGGCCAAATACAAGCACCTCAAAAGAGTTCACCAAGAAAAGAGAATGAAGCTTGAGGAGAAGAGAAGACTTTTGGAAGAAGAAATAATCTCTTTCTCTAAAAAGAAAGCTACCTCGGAGATATACCAGAACCAGACCTTTATGGGCAGCAACCTGAAGAAGGACAAGGACCGTAAGAAAAAGAAGCTGAAAGAGAGCTGCAGGCCAAATACAAGCACCTCAAAAGAGTTCACCAAGAAAAGAGAATGAAGCTTGAGGAGAAGAGAAGACTTTTGGAAGAAGAAATAATCTCTTTCTCTAAAAAGAAAGCTACCTCCGAGATATACCAGAACCAGAGCTTTATGGGCAGCAACCTGAAGAAGGACAAAGACCGTAAGAAGTAAGCCATTTCCAACCACCCACCTCGGGTAGCCTCGCCCCTTCCCTCTCCCTCTCATTGCCCTCTTTGATCTTTATTGTGCTTCTGTCTGTTTCCTTTTCCTTGTCTGCCTCCTGTGGTCAGCTTGTTGTTCACTGCTGCTTCCCTAGCATCTACAATAGCACCTGGCACATATTAGGTGCTCATTAAATATTTGGCAAAATGAAAGAATGAATGAAATAAAAACACATCACAATGTAAAATACATCAATTACCTGGGGGGGAAAGTCGGCTGCTCTTATTTTATAGCCAAGCCTGTGGCTCTAATACACTGCTGACCTACCATTAGTTACGTTGAATTTCTTATCTAATTGGAAGCTGTATGCTTTCTTGTGGAATCATAGGTGTCAAATAATATTTGATTTTAAAATACTAATTCTTAGGTTCACTTTATTTTAATAAATACTACTGATAATGATTTTGTGAGAATTTTTATTTTAATAAGGGAACCAGGCTATCGATGTGAACTCCTGTGCTTTGATGTCAGAGCTTATGAAACCAATGGTGGACGCAATGATGCAGAGGAAGGTAGAGAGGGTCCCAGTACAATGGGGCGGCATGAGTAGCATTTGGATGATATTCTCAAAGCTTATAGGTTGGGGTATGTGTCACAATTGAAATTACCAAAGTTTTAGAAAATAAGGTTTTATTCCTCTTTTGTACTTTGTGTCCTTCATTTTATTTCTCCCACTTAATATGTCCTTGTCAGTTTGCCTGTTTGTGCTGTTGCGAATTCTCCATTGTGGTCTTTGCCTCGGTTTCTCCAGTTGTCGCTGCTCTAGCAGCATATGTTCTCCTTATGTCCTTACAGAGCAACCCTTCCATTGTTGATTTCAAAACCAGGTCTGATTTCAAACCCAGCATTTTCAGATCATTGTAACTCCACTTGAGAATAGTTAGGAAAACGATGCTAATCCATGGTAGCTTTCTATTTTTGAACCGTGGAGAAGTAAATCCACAGGGTTTTGGTATATTTAATTGACCTGTGGATTTTATAGCTTTGGGGAAAGAAAGAAGAATTCTCATGTATGAACTTTTAACATTGGCTCCATGAGGGCATGGATCTATTTTGTTCATGGATGTATCCATCCCCAGAGCCTAGCACAGTGCCTGGTCCATATGATGAATAATAGCTATGTTTATTCAAGCACTGAATTTTAAAATATAAACTATAAATATAATTATTGCTTTTTATTACAAAGCTATGGGACCTTTTACTTTATGTTTTTATCTTAATCCAGTGTTACTAAAATTGGATTCCCCCATATTTATTTCATATATGAAAGACATTTTACACTTACCTTGTGGAAATTATCACCCTGCTCCACTTGAGAATCGTTGGTATGAGCTGTTGATGACAAAATCAGGTCCAAGCCCATAGTTTCAGAATTCGTCCTCAAGAAAATAGATTTTGGTGGGGTTTTTTTCTCTTTCTTTCCAAAGTTCCATAACTAGATATCCTATAGACATTAGATGTATATTTGCTCTTTCTGGGAAAGCTTTGTAAAACCATTGATTCTAATAATTTTTATTTCTTAGTTGATTTTATATTGTACCAATCAAAATTTTTTCTCTCTCTTTTTTCAGCTCCAATTTTATGTAAAACAAAGGTTCCAGATCACAGAAGGTCATCACAAGCAAAAGTTATTGAAAAGTTAGAAATATGCTGTGATTTTCTTGCTCATTTTATTTGCTGTATCAGTTATTTTGTATCTGGCAAATGGCCACAGTTACTGTCTTTTATAGAAAAATACTTTCAAGTATAAGGTCAATACATAAACCAGAGTGGGTGATAAGAACTTATGCGTCCACTACTGTGAAGTTTTAAGCTGCTGGTTTGTGATGTATCAAGATCATTGCCTCTACTGCCGACTTACTGTCACTTTGCAGAGCGCCACCACAGAGCCGTGCCACTGCCTTTGACAGCAGAGCTCGCTCACATCAGGCTGATTGCATTTACGTTCTAAGATGAACCTTTTGTTTTGTGCACACTAAAGGTAAAATTTTGAGAATATGTTTTAAAATGTATTATGTACCTAAAACTCTAACCTCTCAATAGTTTTATAGAACTTTTTAATTTTTGATATGATTATCCAGTTAGTAACATGATCCTAAGCTTTTGTATAAAATTTTATGTAATATGATGGTCTTCCATGCTTCAGTACACTTTATGGTGGCTGATGTATGATGATGAAAAAAAAAAGTTTAAAAGTAAAAACACCCACGTATATATATACCCTTTTTCTAGTGATAAGTACTTTTGAATTGGTGTTATCACAGTATTTTTATTAGGATGTATTACATATTTGTGGCTTAAAACTGTCTTCCAAGGGAAAAATAAGATTGAATTACCTTACTAAAAATATTTCTAAGAAAATAGCTATGAGCATCTGCATATTAAAGATATAAACATTTAGATAATTCATATCAGTGCCTTAGTAGTAGTCTCAGAACAATTAACTTTTTCTTAACAGTCATAGGTATATAATTTTTTATTTTTTGTACCTAAATATTCTAAATAAAACTGACATTTACTCTTGACAAATAAAATATATCTGCATATTTACTAAAATGTGTTTACATTAATTTTTCTGTTTACAAACTGTCATCTTAAGAAACATTTTATCAAAGTTCATTTAATTGTATGTCTGAACTATTTTAGAACAAGTATATTACCAGTATTTTTCAGACAACAAAATGTTTAAGTTAGCCTATGTTAGATTCTGAACAGTGCTTTTTTTATGAAGTTGTATAAGTTGCAAATAAAACCTTTCATTTTTTAGCACAATTTATCTGGACAAATACTTTACTTTCCATTTTTATATTTGAAATTCACAAATATCTCTCAGCCTTTTTCAACTGTAGTAAAGTAAGTATCACAGAAAAAGCTCTGAACTTCTTCTCAGGATAAGTAATGTTCAAGTTCTGGAAGGTGAGAGCAGGAGAGGTGGGGGCGTCCCTGCAGGCAGGTGACCTGTTGTACAGAGCCCAGCCAATGCCACAGCACCCAGTGTGAGCAAAGGAGAATGTATCCCCGAAGCTTGGGGATGTGGTGTGCATGCTGGTTATTTGTAGTCATATCATATTAAACTGTATGAAACAGCTGTCCTAAACTCTGTTTAAGTTCCTTTTAAATGCCAGATTGGAGGTTGACATGTTCGAAGTCATTTGAGTTTCCAGTTAAAAAGGTTGTAGAAAGCTGCCTGAGATTCTCACTTAGCAGGGGGCTCACTCAAGCCTCACTGTCAAGAAGATGTGTGCTCAGACACCATGTGAATGTTAATGTAGTCCATCCATTTGGGATTCTGTATACGACTTTATTTTAAAAGAGTTAACACTACAGCCCTAGCTGGTTTGGCTCAGGGGATAGAGCATTAGCCTGTGGACTGAAGGGTCCCAGGTTGATCAAGGGCACATGCTCCAGTTACAGGCTTGATCCCCAATAGGGGTGTGCAGGAGGCAGCTGATCAATGATTCTCTCTCATCATTGGTGTTTCTATCTCACTTTCCCTCTCCCTTCCTCTCTGAAATCTATTAAAAATCCTATATAATAAAAGGCTAATATGCAAATAGACCAAACAGCAGAATGACCGGTCACTGTGACACACACTGACCACCAGGGGGCAAACGCTCAATGCAGGAGCTTCCCTCTGGTGGTCAGTGTGCTCCCACAGGGAGAGCACCGCTCAGCCAAAAGCTGGGCTATGGCAAGCACAGTGGCAGTGGTGGGAGCCTCTCATGCCTCCATGGCAGTGCTCAGGATGTCTGACTGCTGGCTTAGGCCCGCTCCCCATGGGGAGCGGGCCTAAGCCAGCAGTCAGACATCCTGAGCACTGCCATGGAGGCATGAGAGGCTCCCACCACTGCCACTGTGCTTGCCATAGCCCAGCTTTTGGCTGAGCGGTGCTCTCCCTGTGGGAGCACACTGACCACCAGAGGGAAGCTCCTGCATTGAGCGTTTGCCCCCTGGTGGTCAGTGTGTGTCACAGTGACCGGTCATTCTGCTGTTTGGTCTATTTGCATATTAGCCTTTTATTATATAGGATTTTTAATAGATTTCAGAGAGGAAGGGAGAGGGAAAGTGAGATAGAAACACCAATGATGAGAGAGAATCATTGATCAGCTGCCTCCTGCACACCCCTATTGGGGATCAAGCCTGTAACTGGAGCATGTGCCCTTGATCAACCTGGGACCCTTCAGTCCACAGGCTAATGCTCTATCCCCTGAGCCAAACCAGCTAGGGCTGTAGTGTTAACTCTTTTAAAATAAAGTCGTATACAGAATCCCAAATGGATGGACTACATTAACATTCACATGGTGTCTGAGCACACATCTTCTTGACAGTGAGGCTTGAGTGAGCCCCCTGCTAAGTGAGAATCTCAGGCAGCTTTCTACAACCTTTTTAACTGGAAACTCAAATGACTTCGAACATGTCAACCTCCAATCTGGCATTTAAAAGGAACTTAAACAGAGTTTAGGACAGCTGTTTCATACAGTTTAATATGATATGACTACAAATAACCAGCATGCACACCACATCCCCAAGCTTCGGGGATACATTCTCCTTTGCTCACACTGGGTGCTGTGGCATTGGCTGGGCTCTGTACAACAGGTCACCTGCCTGCAGGGACGCCCCCACCTCTCCTGCTCTCACCTTCCAGAACTTGAACATTACTTATCCTGAGAAGAAGTTCAGAGCTTTTTCTGTGATACTTACTTTACTACAGTTGAAAAAGGCTGAGAGATATTTGTGAATTTCAAATATAAAAATGGAAAGTAAAGTATTTGTCCAGATAAATTGTGCTAAAAAATGAAAGGTTTTATTTGCAACTTATACAACTTCATAAAAAAAGCACTGTTCAGAATCTAACATAGGCTAACTTAAACATTTTGTTGTCTGAAAAATACTGGTAATATACTTGTTTTAAAATAGTTCAGACATACAATTAAATGAACTTTGATAAAATGTTTCTTAAGATGACAGTTTGTAAACAGAAAAATTAATGTAAACACATTTTAGTAAATATGCAGATATATTTTATTTGTCAAGAGTAAATGTCAGTTTTATTTAGAATATTTAGGTACAAAAAAATAAAAAAATTATATACCTATGACTGTTAAGAAAAAGTTAATTGTTCTGAGACTACTACTAAGGCACTGATATGAATTATCTAAATGTTTATATCTTTAATATTCAGATGCTCATAGCTATTTTCTTAGAAATATTTTTAGTAAGGTAATTCAATCTTATTTTTCCCTTGGAAGACAGTTTTAAGCCACAAATATGTAATACATCCTAATAAAAATACTGTGATAACACCAATTCAAAAGTACTTATCACTAGAAAAAGGGTATATATATACGTGGGTGTTTTTACTTTTAAACTTTTTTTTTTCATCATCATACATCAGCCACCATAAAGTGTACTGAAGCATGGAAGACCATCATATTACATAAAATTTTATACAAAAGCTTAGGATCATGTTACTAACTGGATAATCATATCAAAAATTAAAAAGTTCTATAAAACTATTGAGAGGTTAGAGTTTTAGGTACATAATACATTTTAAAACATATTCTCAAAATTTTACCTTTAGTGTGCACAAAACAAAAGGTTCATCTTAGAACGTAAATGCAATCAGCCTGATGTGAGCGAGCTCTGCTGTCAAAGGCAGTGGCACGGCTCTGTGGTGGCGCTCTGCAAAGTGACAGTAAGTCGGCAGTAGAGGCAATGATCTTGATACATCACAAACCAGCAGCTTAAAACTTCACAGTAGTGGACGCATAAGTTCTTATCACCCACTCTGGTTTATGTATTGACCTTATACTTGAAAGTATTTTTCTATAAAAGACAGTAACTGTGGCCATTTGCCAGATACAAAATAACTGATACAGCAAATAAAATGAGCAAGAAAATCACAGCATATTTCTAACTTTTTAATAACTTTTGCTTCTGATGACCTTCTGTGATCTGGAACCTTTGTTTTACATAAAATTGGAGCTGAAAAAAGAGAGAGAAAAAATTTTGATTGGTACAATATAAAATCAACTAAGAAATAAAAATTATTAGAATCAATGGTTTTACAAAGCTTTCCCAGAAAGAGCAAATATACATCTAATGTCTATAGGATATCTAGTTATGGAACTTTGGAAAGAAAGAGAAAAAAACCCCACCAAAATCTATTTTCTTGAGGACGAATTCTGAAACTATGGGCTTGGACCTGATTTTGTCATCAACAGCTCATACCAACGATTCTCAAGTGGAGCAGGGTGATAATTTCCACAAGGTAAGTGTAAAATGTCTTTCATATATGAAATAAATATGGGGGAATCCAATTTTAGTAACACTGGATTAAGATAAAAACATAAAGTAAAAGGTCCCATAGCTTTGTAATAAAAAGCAATAATTATATTTATAGTTTATATTTTAAAATTCAGTGCTTGAATAAACATAGCTATTATTCATCATATGGACCAGGCACTGTGCTAGGCTCTGGGGATGGATACATCCATGAACAAAATAGATCCATGCCCTCATGGAGCCAATGTTAAAAGTTCATACATGAGAATTCTTCTTTCTTTCCCCAAAGCTATAAAATCCACAGGTCAATTAAATATACCAAAACCCTGTGGATTTACTTCTCCACGGTTCAAAAATAGAAAGCTACCATGGATTAGCATCGTTTTCCTAACTATTCTCAAGTGGAGTTACAATGATCTGAAAATGCTGGGTTTGAAATCAGACCTGGTTTTGAAATCAACAATGGAAGGGTTGCTCTGTAAGGACATAAGGAGAACATATGCTGCTAGAGCAGCGACAACTGGAGAAACCGAGGCAAAGACCACAATGGAGAATTCGCAACAGCACAAACAGGCAAACTGACAAGGACATATTAAGTGGGAGAAATAAAATGAAGGACACAAAGTACAAAAGAGGAATAAAACCTTATTTTCTAAAACTTTGGTAATTTCAATTGTGACACATACCCCAACCTATAAGCTTTGAGAATATCATCCAAATGCTACTCATGCCGCCCCATTGTACTGGGACCCTCTCTACCTTCCTCTGCATCATTGCGTCCACCATTGGTTTCATAAGCTCTGACATCAAAGCACAGGAGTTCACATCGATAGCCTGGTTCCCTTATTAAAATAAAAATTCTCACAAAATCATTATCAGTAGTATTTATTAAAATAAAGTGAACCTAAGAATTAGTATTTTAAAATCAAATATTATTTGACACCTATGATTCCACAAGAAAGCATACAGCTTCCAATTAGATAAGAAATTCAACGTAACTAATGGTAGGTCAGCAGTGTATTAGAGCCACAGGCTTGGCTATAAAATAAGAGCAGCCGACTTTCCCCCCCAGGTAATTGATGTATTTTACATTGTGATGTGTTTTTATTTCATTCATTCTTTCATTTTGCCAAATATTTAATGAGCACCTAATATGTGCCAGGTGCTATTGTAGATGCTAGGGAAGCAGCAGTGAACAACAAGCTGACCACAGGAGGCAGACAAGGAAAAGGAAACAGACAGAAGCACAATAAAGATCAAAGAGGGCAATGAGAGGGAGAGGGAAGGGGCGAGGCTACCAGAGGTGGGTGGTTGGAAATGGCTTACTTCTTACGGTCTTTGTCCTTCTTCAGGTTGCTGCCCATAAAGCTCTGGTTCTGGTATATCTCGGAGGTAGCTTTCTTTTTAGAGAAAGAGATTATTTCTTCTTCCAAAAGTCTTCTCTTCTCCTCAAGCTTCATTCTCTCTTCTTGGTGAACTCTTTTGAGGTGCTCGTATTTGGCCTGCACCTCTTTTTCAGCTTCTTTTAGCATGGCTTCTTTCTCCTTCACCCGCTGCACAAACATCTGCTTCCTTTCTTCTTCCTTCCTCTGACGTTCCCCATAAAATTTGTGTCTTTTGGCCTCATATGTCTCTTGAAGACTGGGAGGCTGATTCTCTGGGCCCACATCAGGAAAGCCCATTTCCTCCAGTTTGCAACGCCTGTACAGTTCACAGGGCCTCGTATGGGTCTGTTCTCTCAGATCCTCCATGTTTGTACAAATGAGCATTTCCTGAAGCTTTACAAAGTCACAGTGGTTTTCATTTTCCACTTGTACAACACCCCAAGGGTACTGGCGAGCTTTGACCAGCTTATTTCCAACTTTTAACTCATCCATACGTCCTACAACAGCAAATGGCAAATGTCC